AAAAAGGGGGGTTTTATTGGAAGTGTGTGAGAAACCGGTTCGGGGAACCCGGGGAAGGAAGCCCCCGGATTTTTTTTGCCAGGGGTTTTAAGATTTTTTCTCACCGGGAACCAAAACGGGGAAAGAGTCCCCCCCGCCGGGTAGGATGCCCTCTCTTGGCCCAGAGGGGTCCCTTTTGAGAGGAGCAAATTTGGGCCGCTTTTCTTAAACCCCCCCCCCCCCCCCCCCCCTGAGACAACCCCGTACAGTTGTAGGAATCCTCCACCCCTCCACTCCGGGCGGGTCGACTCATCCATGGCAGGCATCACGGTCGGCGGCGCGCATCCGCTCTCTCTCACGTCGTGGGAGGCCGAGGCGAAGAATCCGGCCTCTCCTCCTCCACCACTCCAGTCCTCGTTTGAATGGCACGCTTTGCACTTTCCGCCGCCACAAGTCGACGCATCTCCACTGCTTTCGCGGACTCTAGGTGCGTCGACTCGTGCAACGCGGCGATAGACTTCCTGTTTGGGATTCCGGCAAAGTGCCTGTTGGCGAGCCCCTTCACGTACGCCCCCTTGAAGGAGAAAGAAGAGGTGTCTGCCGTGAAGCCGGCGGTGCCAAAAGTGGCAAAACCAGGTAAGGGGTTCATCACGCGGCAGAGGACGGTGCGCCTATGTTACTCCACACCAGCTGGTCTGATCCTTCTCCGCCCAGTCGTATCGTTGCTCAGGTCCACTCTCTCTTCGGACACTGGCACCCCGGGAAGCCACTCAGGTACACCCCGGGAAGCCGCACGAAAAGAATTTCACCGCGCCAAGTGCTCCTAGTGCCCCTCATCGACCCAATACCGGTCGCTATTCCTCGCCATTAGGCAAATGGCCTGCTGCTGACTGCGCTCGACGCCTAGAGCGGCCCCGCGTTCCTCGCGGCTCGCATAGAGGCACTGCGTCGGTCCCCGGCCAGCTGATTGCATACTTATCTCCGCGTGGGCAGCTCCTGGCTGGCATGCGCGCCCTCGCGCCGACAAGGCCCCGTGCGCACCCCAGGCTCCGTGACCGGGCGTGGCGCACAGGGCGCAGAGATTGTGTGGTGCTCTGGTGCTCTATCTGGTGCCGCGCTGCTATTGCTCAGCTATGCTCGCGCACCCCTCACTGGCCTCGCGTCTGTACATCTCGTGATCAACTTGGCGGCTGCCGTGAGGAGGGCAGCAGGTGCGGCACAACGCTCATAGTTTAGTACGGATTGTAGCTTGCGTCTCTCCAGTACACCAGGAAGAAGGCAGGACGAGTGTGGTTGTTTCACTGTACGTCTGTGTGATGGCTGACATCTGTGAAGGTCCGCCCGGAGAGTTGGCTCACTGTTGTATCTGTTATAGGCATCGTATGATTGATCCCCCCCTAGGGTATGGGAGGACCGCGGCGGCACGCCGCCACCCCACAGGGATTTCACACGGAGTGAACCAGCGGAGTCCGCTCACCCCGTTTTTTTTGTATATTATTTCGTTAAGCGAAGGGGGGGGGGGCGGCCCGCCCGGGGGGGGCGCGCGGGAGCGCTCTTGCTGGTCCAGGGTTCCGGGGCGCTCCTACCTGGATAGGGGGTCTGTTCACACTGACTCGCGCCATGAACGCCCTACCTACCTACCTATCCCAGACCAACCTACCTACCTATCTGGGAGGGGCCAGCTAAGCAGACCCCCTACAGCTCGTATATCCGGGTAGGAACCGGAACCCCTTCACAGACCTTGTTATTGAGAAGAAATACGTCCTACAGTATGGCGCTGTGCGCTGGTCTGTGAGAGGTTGAGGTGCGAGCCCTGGAGGCCCTGGGGATGGGGGGATACTATTACTACCCGCGGGCCTCGTAGAAGGCCCGCGCGCAGGGGGGAGGGACATTGAGACCGGTCATGAATGAGTGCGCGACACGCATGTTGCGAGCAGCGTTGTTGATGTTTTGCGCATCGCCACAGACGGCGGCGGCGCGAGACAGCTGTTGCGAGTGGTGACGAGCAATAATTCTTCATTAATATTATTAATTGAGATGCTTTTTGCACGGCTGACTGAGCCCCCCTCCCTGCCCCCGCTCCCATTCCCTGCCCCCGCTCCCGCCACGCGCTCCGTCCGAGCCCTCTCCGCTCTTGCACAGGAGGAAAACTGACAATTAATCAGATGGACCTTGAAAGGCACAATCAGAACGATGGGCTACGCCAACCTAAAAAAGACGATCTCCACCGGCAAGATGCTCAAACAGATTGACGAGGAGTTTCTCGAGATGACGCCGCAAGAGTTTGAGTTCCACGCCCTCAAGGCGTTCTACGAGCCAAGGCCTGGCAGGGGCGGCTACCAGTTCAAGACCATCCCGACGGGTCCTGCCGGGAACGGCAAGTCGCGGATGTTCGATGTCGACCACGTAGTGCCGCGCAAGTGGGGTGGCATCGACCACCCGCGCAACATGGTGGTCATGCACTCCTCCATGAACCGCGCCTTTGGAGCCGACATGCCCGAGGCCAAGTGGTTTTACCTATGCAGCAGCTCGTCCTGTCGTTCGTCGGGTGTCCTGCGCCAGGTCGCTGCCTTCTTCAAGGAAATCTATGGCAACAAGGAGGTCAAGAAGGCGTTCGAGAACGCCATCAAGAATCTGAAGGACCTCGGTCCTTCCGCGTAGAGAGCCGTCATTGTCAAAGGCGAGGAGCGAGGTGCAGTACGGCTGTACACTGTACTGACTGTACGTGTAGTGCTGGAGTCAATCGAAGCTGTTTGAGCCTTAGATTATAGAGGTGATACGCCACGCATAATGTACGTGTGTTTTTCAGTACGACTATGATCTTTATGCGAGAGATCGCGCTGCTCGCAAGCCGCGCACAGGATGCCGGGCCCGACGACACGCCGACACCCGACACGTCTCTCGGCACTCGGGGTCCCCCCGCTCCGTGGTCTTCGTTCCCCGCTTTTTTACGACCCTGCTTTGGCAGCGTGCACCTCGATCCTGTACCGTGTTTGTTATGACCTCCCCCCAATGAACACACCAGTGAGGGAGGGCGAGACGATTGAGGGGTCCCGTACCATGCGGAATCGACCCATTGCTGGGCGTTCACGCGAAGGGGAAGGCCCGGCAAGGGTCTTTGCGCGATGCACATGTCCTCTTCGCGCAACGTCCTCTCCATCGTCGTCGATCGAGAGCTTTCCGGCAACGCGCGTGGCCTGCGCTCGCTCCCCCCTCGCTTCCTCGCCGGCATCGACGCAGGCGGCGGCCCGCGTGACCGAGCCGCCGTCGCCGCCTCTCGAGGACACGTTGGCACTGGCGAGCTATTGCTTCAGCTTGACTCGGAGATGCCTGCTCCCGCCGAGCTACGCAAGCTGATCGCTGACCTGAGCGCGCGGCTGGGCGAGTCGGCGAGCCAGCGCGAGGTCTTTCTCTGCTGCGGCGGAGACGCGATCATTTCCCGCGTCCTCCTGCGGCTGTGCAGGAGGGAGGCTGGGCGGCCGTCCGCTCGCCTGCCCGAGGGCGCTCCTCTGGACGTGATTAACGAGTGCACCCAGATCCTCGCCGAGCTCGCCATGCTCGACCTCCAGCACGCCGAGGCGCTCGCGTCGCGCCACGAGCTCATCGGCACGCTCTTCCTGCTGATGGCGGAGCCGCAGGCGGCGGACGCGGCGCTCGCCCTTTCCATGACAGGTACACGACATGTCCGGGACATGTCCCGCAGGCGGTGGACGCGGCGCTCACCCTCGCGCAGGAGCTCCTCTCCGCGGGACAGGACGTCTTCCCGCTCACCGCGGTGCCCGACCTGCCGGGCCTCATCGGCCGCCTCTCGCCCCGAGGCCTCGCGGCTCGGGCGCCGAGGAACCCTCTCGGGACCTTCTCGGGACCTCCCTGGAGCGTTCCCGTAGGCCTCGCTCTCGTCTCGCGCGCCCTCGCAGTGCTGCTCGCAAAATCGGCTGAGCAGGGCTAGGGCGGCTAGAAAGCCGGACACGTATTCTAGAAGGTTCCTAAAGGGCCCTAGAGCAGGGCTAGGGCGGCTAGAAGCCGGACACGGGTTCTTGTAGTCCGACCAGCGCTCGAGAGGACACGCACTCGACCGTATGCGGCCGTATTCTGCGGGACTCGCTGCATTCGTCGCCCCTCGTATTCACGCGGCGCTCTGAATACACTGCGCATCGCCATCTTCCCCGAGGTGGGTGTACAGCTGTGTGCTCCCGCCCCGAGGTTGGTGAATTCCGCGTGTAGGTCTGGACGCCTTTCCCGCGCCAGAGTGCGTGGAGCCCGACTTGTGCGTCGTGTGCGCAAACAACGCCGCGCTCCTGGCGCTGCCCTCCTTCCTCGCCCGCGTCGTCGCGCTGCTGCGGCTGCGCTCTCCGCCCGCGGGGCTGTGGGGCCACATCCTCGGCCCGGGGGGAGCGCTTGCGCAGGGGGGGGGGGAGGGCGAGGGGGAGGG